TCTATAGTACCTCGAAATTTTCTATGTGGCTTAAGGGTAAAGTTTGTTAATTCTAGGACCAAGTTGAACTCTTTTTATTATTTAAGGACCAATGTGAAAATTTCAGAAATAAAATGTTTAACTAAGGGTATGATGGACTTATGAGTTATAGCTAACAATATGTGTCATTTGATGAATGGAAAGCATTATGGGACTTAGTTGCAATGTTTGAAATATTAGGGACTAAATTTTAATTTAAAAAGTTGCATATTTATGATTTGAAAACTTAAGATTATAATCTTAAAGATGATCTTCAGATAATATTTGAGGTTAGAGGCATCAGATGAGGTTTTGGTAATTTTGGAGACAAATTTGAAAATTTTCAAACCTAGAAAATTTAAGAAAATAATATGAATTTTTAAATTTTCATGTAAAATATTATTTCAGGGGTTCAAATTGAATGAACTGATATATTTGGTTCTGTTTTGGGATTTTCAGAAACCGTTTTGAATTTTATCTAGATTTAGACTTTGTTAAGAATAGCTTTGTGGATTAATGGACGATAGTCAAACTCAAACAATTATTTTTCGATTGAGTGAACATTTTTAGTCATTCTCAGAAAGAACAATTTGTACACTTTTTAACGTTTCGTTTGGCAGCTTATTTTCCTTATTTTAAGAAGAATTAAGAATGGTATCATTTATTATTTTTTAAATCCATCAATTATAAATTAGAGTTAAAATTAATTTCTGCATTAGAAAAATAAAAGAGTTGCAACTCGTAAAGTTATTATTTTTCTTATTGACTTTCCGGAGCAATACAATTATGAACATATTTATGCGGAACAAAGCTTAGAGCATTGGCTGATTATGCTTAAAACTAAGTCAAACTTACTTTGAAATCTCTTATTTTGCCAAACAAGATCGATGGAGTTATTTCGTTTACTGATAAAACTTAGTTTATCTCACTTTACTTTCTAACTTTTGAGCTCAGCCAAACACGTGCCAATTTCCAGTAAATGATTGTTCGAACTGATGATTGATGCACAAATCTAAACATCTCAATGATCATCTCTTGAAATTCTGATGTATTTAATTGATGTACGTGTGTCGACATGAGATGCTTTTTCATGCTAGATTCACAAGAATATTGAAGTCGTCCATCAGGATATTGATTTTTCAACTTCCTTGATATCGGCCATTGAAATCGAATTGACACTGTAAGAATGCTCCCTCACCGTTCTAATACTTAGAACTATCCTATTAAAATATACCAAGTCACATTGATTGTCAAAATTTTACACCTTATTGTGCCTACTAATATGTCGTTTCTTCTCAACAACATAAAATCAAATCGAGACCATATTTTTGGTGATGCAGCGTGCCAGCATCAAACAAAGAAATGAAACAGTATTTATTTCAAAGAGAAATTGGACAATACCACAAAGAAAAACCCATAATTGTCATGCTGCAAGAATTTTCTCTCTCTTTCCTTTTGTCCTCTTGTCGGTTTCTCTCTCTTTATTTTTTTTTCTTTTGTACAATACCACACCCATTAAATTAATTTTATTTTCAA